TGTACTCAAGCTGTTGCCGTTACTCTGTCAAATAATCTGCAAATATTCGACTCAGTCGTGTTTAACGAATGTTTGGTGGGTGAGAACATCATCTGGAGCAACCTTTCCTACATAACTCAAATATCTTTTTTTCGATATGCAGGGCTGAGAAGAAAGCGAAGCACCCGAAAATAAAAAATCCGTCTTTAGCAGTTGAAATACAGAAAGTTTCGCTACGAATGCGACATATCTCCATAGAAAATTCGAAAACAAAATGGAAAAATGGAAATGAGTGTTTGCTGCCGCGCTAATTCGTGACGTCATTTAGTGCTATCAACAATCAAGAAGCTGAATGGCAGAGAAACGACGGCCCGTAGCGTCAGTCGTCCTAAATGACGTCACAGTAAGTTCTTGTTCACGTGACAAAATTTAAATTCTTGTATAATTTTAATCGTCTATGACTAATTTGTAGCATTAAAGAAATAAATTTTATACCACTTTTAGAAGCTAGAAATTTTCATGCAAGTTATAGTTTTTCCGAAGTCAATTGAAGAACCAATATCTTCAAGGTATATACCAGGCTCGGTCGCTAAGCAGCAACTGGACATTGAAATATTTGAAAAACTTGTTCCCACATTTATTTAGCCATACCCATATACAGATCTGGTCGAACGAAAAGTGCAGGTGGTAGAAATGTATATGCTCAGTTGAAGAATGAGCGAAGAGCAATGCTCACTGTTTCTCTGGTACATTGCGTTGTCAAAATTCAGTTGTCGACTAGTCGCCTAGCAGTGCAGTGCGGGAATGCGGAATTTGGTGTGATTCAGATAATTTTAATTTATTATAGGCACCCTTCTATTAATCATTCATATTACGATTGCGAAAGGGAGAAATAATAGTCCAATTAACTAAGCCTTTAAATCGAAATTTTGTCAACTTGGCTGAATTTTTGATATGAGTTAGTATAAGGTATATTATAACAATAAGTGAGAGTAATTTTTTGTTCAACCCCCGGTCAAGGGTGGAAAAAGATAAAACAAAGGGATTTTTCAAGATAACTCAAAAAGGGTAAGAGCTAGAAAAAAAAGTACAATTCTACATAAAAATGGTCTCTTAGCTTTTTCTTGTACTATTAAAATTAACAGAGTTAGGGAGGCTAGAAGTTAAGGGAAGATTTCAGAAATTTAATTTTGTTAAATCATTAAAATTAACGATTAAAAATTTGATTTTTTGTTATAACTTTCTTATTAAAAATTAAAAAATATATCTATTTCTCTGAAAAGAAAAGTTACATATTTTAGAGCAGATTGAAAAAAAAAAATTACAAAATTCAATCATTTTTCTGTTTGTTATGATTTTTTTTAAATTTCTGAAATCTTCCCTTAACTTCTAGCCTCCCTAACTCTGTTAACTGTAATAGTACAAGAAAAAGTTAAGAGGCCATTTTTATGTAGAATTGTCTGCTTTACAACTTTCATGAAAAACTTTTATTTCTAGCTCTTACCCTTTTTGAGTTATCTTGAAAAAGCCCTTTGTTTTATCTTTTTCCACCCTTGGCCGGGGGTTGAACAAAAAATTACTCTCACTTATTGTTATAATATACCTTAAACTAACTCATATCAAAAATTCAGCCAAGTTGGCAAAATTTCGATTCAAAGGCTTAGTTAATTGGACTAATAAGAGGGACATTTGGTTTACTAATATTATTACAACCTGGCATTTTGGAGACCTTTTGAAACGGAACAAAACGAAATTTACCATCAATATAATAAAATTGTTTGAGGGCATAAATAATTAAAATATGTTGTTGGTCAAATGAACATATAATAGAAATTTTATACACATTATGTAGAAATTATTATAATTTTCTACCTTTAGCAGAAAACTTTTTTAGGGACGCCCATGAAACTCATTAAATTTGATTGCTCGGTTTTTTATACATGTGCAACTGACTTCGGAAGAACTATACTTATTAACTATTATTAATGAAACAACTCGTATTTTTAATCAGTTTAAAGCAATAGTTGGCCTAATCTAGCTCCAAGTCAACTTTAGAACTTTAGACGTTACGTGTATAACCGCACAGCGAATTCAAAGATACAAGATGAATGCCGCAATGCCGCATCGACGACTGATATCTCCCGGACCAACAATCACCATTCGCGTTCAGCTCATTCATCGTATTGCGTTTACGACGGCCTAACTGTCTCTAACGGACCAACGATAGGCGTCCAATTATTATTATTATTACCATCGCAGACGGCTATGCAACAGTCGGCGATCGGCGCTAACTAGCCAGCTAGATAAACTCTTGCGGTCAAGTCAACAAGTGGACGGATGAAAATAATAGGCCTTTTGCGTGGGCGACTGTTTGGATTTTTCGGTCCGCCGTTATATTTACGTCTTATCGAACAATTTCCAGAAATAGAATCGGAATAGTCTCGGGGAATGTACGGGGTTAAATATAGACGCGTTGTTGTTTGGAAGTTAGTCCACCTGGTGGTCGTTCGGTTGCCGAACGTCTGTTTCGTGTACTAGTAGTGCGCGCTGTTCGAAGTTTTCTATTGCCTTTTGGCCATAAACGACCTCAAAGTCTATATTTAGAAGTGCACGCATCACCGCCAACTAAGAACGCGTGTAATACGAATGACACATATCGGTTTTGGATGTAATCAAAAACACATTGGGTCTTGGCAATCTTCAGAATTGACAGGTCTAACTGTTAAAACAAATATCCCTGAAAAATCGCGGAATTTGGGATTTTAAATTTGTTCAATGGCGGGAATTTTTGAAAGACCTTGTGTGTCATTTAATATTCTCAATGACGCGCTTTATAAACTAAATAATGTATTTTAATCATAGACGGTAAGAGGTTAAACTAAGAATAAAAATATTTTATTTTCATTCTTGAGGATCGTGCTTTTTTGTTTTCAATCTAGAAACAACAATATCAAAATATTGCGCAGAGAATTTAATTTTAGATATATTTTTTTATTCATCCAATAAAAGTTACAATTAACAATTAGATATATCGATAACACAGGTCAACATTTGATCTAGGTCAAATAAAAAATTACCTCCAAAAACTCTGAAAAAATTCATGCCTATGTTTTAGAGGTCACTGAACCCGAATCCGATGATTACCCGTGCGATACACCCTAGAGGTCATTCAAGGTCATTTCAAGGTCATTCATGAAGTATTTTGTATATATTTATTTCATAAGACTTCGCTCACGCAAAGTATCGAAAATTGTCAAAAGTATGTAACACAAATAAAAATAAAAAACAGATAATAAATGTATAAGGACAAACTACAAAATATAGACCAATGACAATATACAGAACATAATTACAAAATATTGAATGAAAATTGTAATAAAAAAATTAAAAATTACAATAAAAAACTAAAATAAAAAATTAGAATTAAAATTAAAAACCAGACTCATTGAAGACACAACACATATACTCATTCGCTTTACTTTGTTACGAAAGACAACACATGAATTTATCGGTTTAATATGCGTTGGCAACTTATTATATAATTTAATGGACATAATAAAAGGGCCATTAGCCGTTAACGTTAGGCGATGCTGGGGTATTTTTAAATTAAGAAATTCTCTCAGAATTAAAATCAGTCTGAAAATTCTGAAAAAATTCGCCTGAATGTTTTTGAGGTCACTGAACGTAAATCCAAGGTTACTTAAGCTCCATCACGTCAGGTTCAAGGTGATTTGAAGGTCAAATCGAGAAAAAGTTTTGTAAAAAATCGGAAAAGATACAGTAGTTATGTTGGATTGACAAAGTTCGAATTCGCTGTTATTTTCGTCTACAAAGAGTTACCTATTGTACCGAAGTCATTCAGAGGACGTTCAAGATGATACTGGAAAAAGGTGATTAAAAAATTTGAAAAAACGCTTACGGAGGGTTTGTGGTTTGCTGATTTCAAATTTGGGGTTGGTTGTCTTGTGTAGTTTTAGGGACAAGGTCATTTGACCTTTTAAATTTTTTTTACACAACTTTTTTCTAAATTTAACCTTCAAATCACCTTGAACCTGACGTGATGGAGCTTAAATAACCCTCAAAAACATTCAGACTAATTTTTTCAGATTTTTCAGACTGTTTTTAACTTTTCTATCCAAAATACTTCATGAATGACCTTGAAATTACCTTGAATGACCTCTAGGGTGTATCGTAGGGGTAAACAAATCTCGGATTCGGGTTCAGTGACCTCTAAAACATAAGCATAAATTTTTTCAGATTTTTTTGGTGGTCATTTCTTGATTTCACCTTCAAATCACCTTGAACCTGATGTGATGGGGCTTAAACGACCTCTGATTCGTGATCAGCGACCCAAAAAACCCCTATTTACTATAGTCACTTCTGACGATTGTCCCTAGATCAAATGTTGACCTGTGTAATGAATGTAGATTTTTGGATAATGTGGTTTACAAGTGTTAAATATCGACGAACAATAGATTACCATGAGGATATATGCGTACGTTGGGATATTTGAAAAATGATTTACGTTTATTTTGCCTCACATCGAACCTGGTGTAGCGATTGTCGTAGATAATGCGCCTTACCATAGTCGACGGACAGAAAATTTAGAATTATTGAATGTTACATTCAATAATAATAAAAACACTATGTTAAAAAAAATGTATGCAGGTGGGGTAGTAGGGCATATTTGCCTACCAGGTCAAAATTAGTGAATACATATTTCGATATAAATAAAAAAAGTAATCTACCTATGTACATGTTGGATATACACCAAAGTGACTGTAAATTTGTAAGGAGTGTAAATTGTTAGTAAAATCAACATGTCTATTGTTTTATATTCCACAATTTTTGGAACCCTTTAGAATGATACGCTCATGGAATCGCATTCCACGCCTTAACCCGCCGCGCTGAGAACAAATAAAAAAGTAATTATGAACACCACTCTTGAACCTAATATTGTGTATTGTTGCTGTATTTTTCAGTTAACAGTTCCTAAAAGGCAATTAAAAAAAATGACTCACCAGACATGTTCAGCTCGGGCGCCACCAGCTCGTTGAGGTCGGGCTCCTCGCCGTACCAGAAGATCCACAGCTCCTTGGAGGCGGCCAGGCTGAGAGGCGGCGGCTGCGTGGGGGGCGGCGGCCCCAGATCGAACATGTCGGCGGGGCGCGGCGTCGAGACGCGCCGCCACACGCACAGGATGTCGGCCGCGAGGCACCGCGCGTAACTCCTCAGCACCGGGTCCTCCATGGGCTCCCCGGTGGCGGCGGCGTGACCGCCGACGGGGCCCCCGCCGCCGCCCGTCCTGCCGTCCCCCTCGCTCCATACCAGCTTACGCCATTTGATCCCGGAGAGCTCAGTCTGCGAAAGAGAGACGAAAACATTAGTTGGGGTGTATGCTAGATTTTGATATAAAAAAAATTGCACTTAAAAATAAGGAAAAGTTGGAAATAAATAAAGAAAATGCTTTAAATATGTTACGGACACTTGAAATATCTAAGGTAAATTTTTTTTAGTCGAGATTATCATTAAAGACGTAATTTTTTATTTCCAAATACACTATTGGAAAAAATTTAAAGAAATAAAAAATGTTCATGAATTTTTTAGTTATTTTCGAAAGGCTGTATCTTCGTGAAAAATGGTTGTACCGAGATAAATAAAAAAGTGTTTTGGAGCTTTAAATTTCTAGTTTTAAGATCTTTAGACAAACATTTTTGAACTACGGTTATTAACCAATCAAAAGAAACACCTCCAGAAAAAAATTCCAATAATTATTTTATTTTAGGACTGCATGGACCCCGGAAAATTTTTTCAAACTGAACCAATACAGAGGTCAGTTAGTTTATTTATTCAGCTTCAATTTGATTTTTGAAAGATCTCCGTGAGACTAATGATTGCCGAGATATCGATAGTTGAATGAAAAATAATACTTTTAACTTTAATCGTCGATATAGTCCAGGAAACGAAGGGAAAAATAGGGTAAACCCTCCGAATACTTTCGGATAGATCCGATTTTTATGAAAATTTGGAATTAAGCTTATTTCACCCTGTAGATGAAGTTATATATGCTTGATACGCGCTTCTGATTTTTAGGGGATGAAAACCACGCCTTATGCTAAAAAACTGAATAAATATAAAAATAGGTGTTATATATACTAAAATCATATCTTAATAGATGGAATAAATAAGGTTCTATATTGTGGGTTATAATTTACGTTATTTTTATAAAGTTTCAACCACTTTTATTGATAAAAATATAAAATTAAGTAATAGTTTTTTTGACCTTAAAATATTTTTATAGCGCAAATATTACAGATAGAAACCATTTCAATAGTTTATGATATTTTAAATAATTTATTATAATATTTCAACCCTTAAAAAACTGCCCCTAATAACAAAATACTAAAAAAAATTTTTTTAACGGATTTTAATGATTTGACAAACAGGATAAATTATTATATTCTTTTACCTGTTTATAACACAATTTATAATTTATCGCATTGTTTTAACCACCTTAAAAACCACCCCCAATGACAAGATATTAAAAAATGGCTTTTAAATTATTTAATTATTAATTTTTTTCGTAATAACATTCTCGCGATTTATTTTAATTTATGCAAAATTCAAAATAATTATTTCTCAAAATTTTTTCATGTAGAAAGTCATCATTTCAAATTTTCAAATATATATATAGATTTATTATGCAGGTAACCCTCCAAAGATGTGAATAACCAAAATATTGATATGCTCCAAAAATTGAAGCAATACTGTCGGTTTTTTAACAACTTCCTTAATTTTAAAGCTATTAAGACGATCCAAAAACGATATTACGGAAAATTTCGACAGCTAAAAGTACAGTAAAACTGAAACGCGTTATTTTTTAGATTTTTGAGGTAAGAGGGTTTGAAAAATATGACCTTCGCTCCCAACTGCAAACTTCTATCGACATCTCTGTTAATTTTTATCCTACACAAATAAGAAAAATCGAAAATATTCCGTGAAAAAAATATAAACTTTTGTACTCTTAAATATTTTTCATACCTTTTTTATTTATAGTTATTTTCAAAAATATGTAATTTTTTTCTTTTGAAAAAAAAAAATTTTTATCAATCAAAACGTAATATTTTCAAAAATATGCATTTTAAATCGCTTAAACTTGTATAATATATTGTTAGCACATAAAAAATGTAAATTGTAGAAGGATTACCTTTAATTTTAAATTTCGTGAAATATTCGTCAATTTTTGCACTGATTTTTTTCCGAAAAAGCGAAATTAACAGTTTTATTTTGATCATAACTCTGTTAATTTTTATGCTAATGACTTAAAGTCAAATTCATTTTAAAAAATTTTTTAAAGTGCTTTAAAAAATGTTCGGTGCATTTTTCTTGAAAAATAGAATTCTTTTAGTTATTTTACGTGAAACGGTTCCAATTTAGAAGCCCTAAAAGTGCTTCCACCCCCTAGGCAAAAGCGCTTATCGGCACTATATAACTTTTGTTTCTTGAGCTATTTTTTACTTACAGTCTAAATTTCACGTCAATCGGTTCTATCCGAAAGAATTCGTTGATTGTCTGAACTAATATCACAGCAACAAATTATTGCATAGCAAATCTCCAAGGGTGGTTTGAAAACTTGAATAAATTCTCTACCCTATCACGATTTTCGAAGAATATTGTTCTTCATCCTTCACACTTGAAAAATGTGTAAAAAATTACTATATTTTTTTTAGAAAAACTTCCGGTAATTTACAAATATTGATGAAAATCTGATAAATTGTTTTCTCGAGGTACTTCTTTTGATTGCTCGGAAACAGTAGTTCAAAAAAATTATTTGTCTAAAAATCTTGAAACTGGAGACCTAAACCTTCAAAATGCTTATTTGTTTATCTTCATAGGACAATGTTTCACGGAGATAAAACCTTTCGAAAATCATAACAAAAAAATATTATTGAAACTTTTTGTTTTTTTGTTTGTTTAATTTAAACTGGTATTAGTCAGAATAACAAATTCCGAAAGCATGGAACATGACGTTCTGTGAGAACGTAAATGAAAATAAAAGGTATTTATTTACGTTAAAATATTATCAGCTAGTGCGTACGAATGAACGTTTAAATTTGTTATAGGCGATAAAACCGTTATTGTCGACAATTTCAATTAAAGCGTAATAAAAGCGCAAACAAAACAAGCGTCGAACTGTTGGTCAAGTAGCATTTATCCGATAATAATAATATGTGAGTTATAATGTTACATTTTCTTTCTGGTGAGGATGCGATTAAATCGAAATTAGTTTAGTTAAAAAAAAAAGGCTAGACCAGGATCAGAATATTGTAGATACACTGAGAAAACTGCGTTTTTTACTACGCACACTGAGAAAACCGACTGGTTGAAAACATTACAATAGAAAATAGGTAGAAACAGATATGTAGACATCCACTGTTCGAATGAAAACTCAATTAACAGCTCCAATTAAGCTCGTATACACACAGCAGGGGTCCGGTAGTTGTTGTATAATAAAATTACCAGTAATTTTCTAGTTAGCCGTAGACTGGAATGTATAATTCGTCCAATTATAAAATTACGACACGTCTCCTTAAATAGCATTTAACCCTAATGGTTTTCGTGCGAAGTACACCAATCTCTTGGAACGGACCGAGACGACTCATCAATTAAGCAAATTAATTTAGCCTAAGCTTGTGCTCTACGATTTAGCAGAAAACTATTTAATAAGCCTGGCCCCCGTGTATAACTTCTACTGCATAGTACAATGGCTGAATTTATATAAAGACCATTGAAATTTAAGACCATTTACAATTTCTTTCTTCAATACCGCTATACAAAGTAATTTTTATAATTTAGTGAAACTAGGCTTCAGCTAAACAACAAATAAAAAGTATATCAGTGTTATTATTGATAAGGTTCTAAAAACTGTTTTCGTTTATGGGTCGACATGTTACAGTAGATAAATGAAATAAACAGGAAGAGACTTTTGTTGGATAAAGATCCTTCAGATTGTTTCCAAAAATATATTTTTAATGTAGGTTCCAATTCAAGTGATTTATGTAATTGTAAATCGATATAATAAACATAATAATTAAAAAATAATAATTTTTAGTTTCTGAAAACATATCGGCCGTAGAGATTTATTAAAATAAACCTCACCAGTTCTCTCAGTGTAGATAGAAATGGGATTAACTGATCGATCACCAGGAGTCTGTAAATATTATTTTATCTAAAACTATCAGTATCAACGTATTAGATAATAATTTTATTGGGGCAATCATGATAATCCGAGATACGGTTAGATAGTAGAAATCAAAGAGCATATGTTAGATGTAATAAATCAATTACTTCCTTTAATCTCCGATTTCGCCGTACTACAAATAATACATTTGTAGGTAGTTTAGTCGGATATCATGTACCATCACTATTGATCCAGAACATTAGAGGAAAACAGATAAAATAGGTAGGTATGTGTATGTACTTACGTAGTGCTATAAATAAATAGTAATAAAACGTGAGCTAAGGCATTTTTATGACAGTCATGTTGTGACTAGTTTTAAGATGTAGTTAAATAACTACATTTGTAGGTATTTATTATTTTAAAGCAGGGAGGATAAAATCGAATCTTCTGAAATACTTGGATACGTATTTGGCAATTTTTTTTTATTTCGAAGAAATATGTTAAATATTTTCCTTTATTTTCTTATTTCAAGCACACAAAATATGCAGGGATAAAATAATTTGACGATGGCAAAAAATTAATAACAGAAATAGAAGCAAATCGCATTATCTACGTATTTTCTTGTAATTTAAAATACGAATATTTTCGAGATTTGCAACACCATAAAAATAACTTATATGAATAAATGACGATAAGCTAGTATTCATTTCCGACAATTCTTTCCCAGTACATTAACTATTTAGCGCGACAATATTTGTTCTGTAAATTCATTGCCAAGTACGAACGATAGTGAAAACGCGTGTCAATTTCCAAACATAACCGATAATTTCGTTTGTGTCGCATGCATGAAATTCTACATACCGCGAATAGCTGCCGACGTATTGAATATATTATTTCTTTTACAGAAAAAAAAAACGACTTTTTTAATCAATAAGCCAACAACTACGTACATAAAAAGATACATGGGAAAAAATGGCTTGGAAATAATTACTATATTACTCGCCTTTCATTTTGCGCAAAAAAAAACTGTAACGTAAACACTACAGATCAGAAGTGCGATGAAAAATCCGTTTCTTGTTGAGGGACGTTGGCCGAGTTCGTCGTTTGTGCGTTTACGACGCTTTGCTTGGTCGAGTGTATGGCACGTGTTTTAATGGCAGTCAGTAGCAATGTGTATTGT